ACCGGGCATGTGCCCTGACGGGATCGAACCGTGACCTCCTGATTCATAGGCTGATGCTCAACCAGGCTCATCCTTTTTTTTTAGATGTTTTTATTTTATTTATTTATTTGTTTATTTTTATTTATTTGTTTAATATATTTTATTGATTTTGTACAGAGAGGAAGGGAGAGAGCTAGAGAGCTAGAAACATCGATGAGAGAGAGAGTCATCGACCAGCTGCCTCTTGCACACCCCCTACTGGGGATGTGCCCGCAACCAAGGTACATGCCCTTGACCGGAATCGAACCCGGGACCTTTCAGTCCCCAAGCCGACGCTCTATCCGTTGAGCCAAACCGGTCTCGGCTGTTTTTATTGATTTTAGAAAGAGAGGGAGGGAGAGGGAAAGAGAGAAACATCGATCAGCTGCCTCCTGCACACCTCCTACTGGGGATGTGCCTGTAACCAAGGTACATGCCCTTGACCGGAATCGAACCTGGGACTTTTCAGTCCACAGGCTGACGCTTTATCCACTGAGCCAAACCGGTTAGGGCAAGAGAGAGAGAGAAACATTGATGTGAGAAAGGTGGATCGGCTGCCTCCTGCATGCCCCCTACTGGGGATCGAGCCTGCAACCCGGGCCTGTGCTGGGGCCAGGATAGAACTGGCAGTTGTACACCCAGGAAGGAGCTCGGCAAATATTTGTGGAAGAGTTAGTGCCATTGACTATTGGCGGCGGCTCGGTTTCTGCTTTGTTCCCCATAAATCATAGGCTGTGAACTTCCCCTGCTGAGTCAGGCAGGTCACACCCGGGACCAAAGAGCTGTGTCCTCCCCGAGCGACCACGCAAGCATGTCCCACGTGGGGCCCCGGGACAGAGCGGCGTCGGGAAGGAAGGGGTCTTATCTGGATGAGACAGGACCTCGGAGTGTCCGCGAAGCTGTGACATGGGCCTTATTCTGCAACCCAGCCGCCCTGGCTGCTGGAGAGTGGGAATTGTTGAGCATGCGTGTGCCCCAACAGAGCTGTCCATGCTGACACCAGGCCAGGCCTTGAGATAGGGCCTCATGGCCCCTTCCCAGCACGTAGGCCTTCTTTCACAGAACACGGCCAACTTTCTGAAGAACAGGATGACCCTGTGAACAACATGGCCGTCGATGGCATGACCCTGACGTGGCTTGGGAAAAACTGTTTTGTCTTGGGTTGCTTGCTCTGCAAAAAACAGGATGTGGTAAATGTGCTTAAAAGTGGTCCTGCATGCTTTTTTCACTGCTGATAGCGCTTGCAAACATGGTGAACGTTCCTAAAACCCGCCGAACTTTCTGTAAGAAGTGTGGCAAGCATCAACCCCACAAAGTAACACAGTACAAGAAGGGCAAGGATTCTCTGTATGCGCAGGGAAAGCGGCGTTATGACAGGAAGCAAAGTGGCTATGGTGGGCAGACTAAGCCTATTTTCCAAAAAAAGGCTAAAACTACAAAGAAGATTGTGCTGAGGCTTGAATGCGTTGAGCCTAACTGCAGATCTAAGAGAATGCTGGCTATTAAGAGATGCAAGCATTTTGAACTGGGAGGAGATAAGAAGAGAAAGGGTCAAGGGATCCAGTTCTAGAGCGTCATATTTTGTTTTATTATATGACAATAAAATCATGATATATTAACTTAAAAAAAAAAAAAGTGGTCCTGCACAGAGGGCTGGGGCTGCTCTCTGGACTCCCTGCGTGGAGAAAGGCAGAGCAGTCATTGGCCGGCTAATAAAGGCTCCCTAAATTTGAATTTGTTCTGGTCTCCAGTGGTCGTTCACTTACGTTCCCTCCACAACATGGCTCCTTTCTCTTTTTCAAAAAAAAATTAGAGGATGTTTACTGAAGCTGGGGACAGTGAAACAAGGAAGGGCTGGAGGAGTGAGCTGGGCTGAGCTGCTCTGGCTCACTAACAAGTCAGAGGACAGGGGCCTTTAGGACAGGCCCAGGGGGTTTGTCTGGGACGAGCTGCCGCTGCCCATTGCTGCCCTGGTTGCAGCCTCGCAGGGTCCCTTAGAGTTAGGAGATGCAGGCCTGTGGGGGAAGATGTAAGGGGGCAGGCTCGGGGTGCTCCTGGGAGGGACAGCAAGCCTTCCTGGCTTCTTTCATTCGAGTTCAAGGGGGTGTAACTTAGGGGTGACCCAAGAGGCCAATTCAGGTCCTGGCGTCTAGTTAACAAGCTGGAGTTTCTTAAAAAGAAAAAAAAAAACAGCTCTCAGGTGACCCAGATGGGCCAGAGGTGGGAGGGACTGAGTGGGAAGTGGCACGTTGCTGTGTCAGGTCCACGCCTGTAAGCTCCTGGCAGCTCCCCAGGGCCAAGCAGGTCACACCCGCTTACTCAGCCGGAACGCCTGTTGCTGGACACTGGGCGCTGTGGTCTGACTGGGACACAGGCCCCGGCCAGGCAGCCGGAGGCTGTGCGTGGTCTCTGGCGAGCGTGCTACACCGGAGTCACGGTGGCCCAGCACCTCCCCACCCCCTCCGGTAAGCATGCCGCACCCACCACTCATTCCCGGCTGCTGTCACCACACACACCAACGCTGGCTTCAAAGAACAGAACGTCTTCTCTCACAGATCTGAGGGCTCAAAGCCGACCCCTGCCTCCATCCTCACACGGCTGTGTGTGCCCAAGTCACTCACCCTACTGGGTGAGGGCCTGTCCTGCTGGGCGAGGGCCTGTCTGCTCCGGTGTCACCTCCTTTTCTTTCTTTTTTTTCTTTTTTTTTTTTTTTTTTAATATATATGTCTTTATTGAATTTTTTTAACAGAGAGGAAGGGAAAGGGATAGAGTTCGAAACATCGATGAGAGAGAAACATCGACCAGCTGCCTCCTGCACACACACCCCAATGGGGATGTGTCCGCAACCAAGGTACATGCCCTTGACTGGAATCGAACCTGGAACCCTTCAGTCCGAAGGGCGACGCTCTATCCACTGAGCCACACCGGTTAGGGCTCACCTCCTTTTCCTAATCGAATCTGTGTTTCCAAATCACATCGCATCCTGTGGTTCTAGGGGTTAGGATGTCAACATGTCTTTCCAGGGATACGATTCCACCCATAACAAAGGCAGGCTGGGTGCTGGAGGCCTGGAGCCTGGCTGGGAGAGCTGTGTTTTGGGGACCAGACGGGGGAGGGGGTTGCCATCCTCGCTTTGGACTCGTACACCCAGGAAGGAGCTCGGTTGGTCGGTAAATATCTGCGGAAGGAGTTAGTGGATTGATTACTGGTGGCGGCTGGGTTTCTGCTTCGGTCCCCATCAATCACGGGCGGGGAACGTCCTCTGCCAAGTCAGGTCTCACCGGGGACGGGCTGGATCCCCGTCCGGCGTTGAGGTGAAACAGAACTCCGTGGGGTATGTCGTACCGTGGCACCCCGCTCCTGGCAGCTGGCAGCCAGCAGGGCCCTTCTGGGTGGAGACCACAGAGGAGACGCAGGGAGGGAGGTCGTGAGGATGGGTCTCCCGGATCGTCCCCCAGCACCGCCTTCACCCCCGGGATGCGCAAGAAAGGGCGTGTGAGAAACTAGCCTTCAGCCGAAACCGGTGTGGCTCAGTGGATAGAGCATCGGTCTGCGGGCTGAAAGGTCCCGGGTTCGATTCCGGTCAGGGGCATGTACCTTGGTTGCAGGCACATCCCCAGTAGGGGGTGTGCAAGAGGCAGCTGATCGATGACTCTCTCATCGATGTTTCTAACTCTCTATCTTTCTCCCTTCCTCTCTATACAAAATCAATAAAATATATTTAAAAATAAAATAAAATAAACCAGGGCACTTGTTTAGTGGACATTTTAAATGGGTATAAATGACTGTTGTTATGAGGTTTTTCTTTAATATCCAAAAAGGAGAATTACACCAATAAAATGATTTTTATCTCCACACTTTGAAACACACTGAACACAGAGAATGAGTAATCATTAGATTCAACTTTGGTCCATATTGGAGTTTCTCCGAGTGGACTAAGCCCTGGGGCACAGCAGGCCCAGGGGGGAGGTCACCTGTGCACATGGCAGCAGCCGGCCTGCCCATGGCCTCTGGCCCTGTGGGCCTCTGTGGTCCAGCCCTGGAGGGGAGGCCATCTACCTGCCACCTTTACCTGCCCCATTCCCGCTCCTGCATGACAGCCAGGTGGACGGAGTCGCCTCCTGCTGCTTCTGTGACCCCTGTGGATGCCGGGTGGCCTTGCCGCTGCAGCCCCAGGCCTGGTGTTGAGTCCTGCCTGAGTCCTGCCATCACTGTGAGGCTTCCCCACCCCCATTTCAGGGGTGTCCCTCGCCACCAAGGGTATCTCCTCAAATTCTGTTTTCCCTCGTCTTTTCATAATAAAAGGGTAATATGCAAATTGACCAAACAGCAAAACAACCAATCGTTATTATGTGCACTGACCACCAGAGGGCAGACGCTCAAGACAGGAGCTGCCCCCTGGTGGTCAGTGCGCTCCCACAGGGGGCATGTGGCTCAGCCAGAAGCCAGGCTGACCGCTGGGGAGCTCAGCAGACACAGAAGCCTCTCCTGCCTCCACAGCAGCTCTATGGGGAACGGGCCTAAGCTGTCAGTTGGACATTCCCAGGGCTCTCAGGCTGCTAAAGGGCGCAGGCTGGGCTGAGGGACCCCCACCCCAAGTGCACAAATGTCCTGCACCAGGCCTCTAGTGTCTTTTCCTAAGGCCCCATTACCCCGAAGCCTGAATTCCTAGCTGCCAAAACAGCCACTCCCCTTTAGCTGAGGGCAGGGAAGGCTTCATCGGCCCAGAGCCGCAGAGGAGAGAGCAAAACTCCATCCCACCCTCCGGGCCGCTGGCACTCACCATGTTTGCACGGCTCTAAGCAGGCGTCTTCAAACTTTTTAAAGTGGGGGCCAGATCACGGTCCCTCAGAGAGCTGGAGGGCCGGACTATATGAACTACTAATTCCTACTGTAACACCTCGGCTGCGCTCACTGCCCAAAAAACCTGGCGGGCCGGATCAGACTCCTCTGCGGGCCGCATGTGGCCCGCGGGCCGTAGTTTGAAGACGCCTGCCTGAGTTCTGGGAGCGGCTGCCAGGTGAGTTCTGTATGTTGTTCGTTTTCCAGGTGGCGCTCTGAGGCACAGAGAGGTTAAGCCACTTGTTCGAGGTCGCCCGGCCGAGAAGCCGAGCAGCCTGGATTCAAACTTGGGGGCCCAATCCTGAGCCCCCGTGCCGGGCCCCATACACTGCCTGTCCCCCGAGGATGGGGGAGGGAGGGACACGTGCAGGGCTAGGGGCCGTTCTCTCCGGCCGGGCCAAGGTCGGCGGCGATGCCCACCCACTCGGGCAGGAAGGCCGCCTGTGGCCTGAAGACCGTGTGGAAGCGGGAGTGGGGCGGCGTGTAGTTGGCCAGGTAGACGGCGTCCCCGCCGGCCAGGTAGGCGGCCCAGACGCCGAAGGTGCCCACGGTGAACACGGTGTGATTGCACTGCGTGAGCAGCGCGAAGTCCTGGGCCGGCGAGCCCTGGCGCCCGGTGCCCGCGAACACCACGTCCCCGCGGGACGCGTCGATGTTCTCGCGGCACCAGGCCATGCCGTCGCTGGTGACCACGAACACGGGGGACGCGTGCCGGGCCCGGAAGCGGTCCAGCGCCGCCTGCAGGTAGGCGCGGTCGGCCACCACGCCCTTCCACACTTGCGGCATGACGCGCACGTAGTCCCCGCGGCGCACGTGCACGCCCACGTACGTGGCGGGGCGGCGCCCGCGCACGCGCAGTCCGCGCAGGTACGCCTGCGCCCCCTCGCGCACGTGGTCGTGCAGCGCGAACTCGCGCAGGATGTCGGCGCGCAGGTGGTGGTAGAAGGTCCAGGAGCAGGGGTAGCCCGTGAGGCGCACGTACTCGCCGGGGATGTGGCGGTACCGCTCCTCCATCCAGTCGTGGAGCGGGTAGTTGAGCCAGGGCAGCCCGCGGGCCGCGGCGGCCGGCAGCACCGGGAGGGAGATGCGGAAGAGCGGCGCCAGCGTGCTGTGCATCTCGGCGGGGATGAAGGCCGGCCGCCCGTTCAGCCTGGCCAGCGCGTACAGCGTGGCGTACTCGCCCATCTGGTTGCCCAGGCGGCCGATGGCGTTGATGGTGAACATGCCCCCCTGGGGGAGGTGCCGGGGGGCCGGGACCACGAGGCCCCGGGAGGCCCAGGGGGCGGGCACCAGAGCCAGACGCTGGTGGCAGTGGAAGATCATGGACACCGCAAAGATGAAGAGGAGGAAGATGATGGTGCAGAAGGAAGGGCAAATGGTCCAGAAGCCCATGGTGGCTGCAGGGAGGAGAAGGGACTGAGTCAGGAGGGATGGTGGACAGTCCTTTGCTGTCTCACTGCCCCTCCCCCCCCCCATACATGTATTCACTCACTCAACTCCTCCTGGGGAGCCTCAGGCCTGGGTCCGAGTCCCAGCTCCAGCCCTCCCTGGCGCTGTGTGACTTTAGTCAAGTCACTTCACCTCTCTGAGTCCCAGTCTCCTCACCCGTTGAACAAGGATTGCCGGAAACCGATCCATGTCACTAATAGAGAATGTGAAAAGAGAATCCGGAAGGCTGGCCAACCTTAATGGCTCTGAATGGTCGGAGCTAACACTCACTGTTTGAGACATTGGTAGCTAAAGCAACCTGTTAACCATATGTGAATTCTTGCTGATTGTTATTGGAATTACCTGCCTAAAGCATATGGGTGTGTCTCATAACCTCAATAAAAGGGATACCAAAGCCAGAGCAGGGGTAGTCCTCCCTCTAGAGGTGGACTCCCGCCTGGCCCTCTATTTCCCAAATTAATTCTTTTCTAGTCTCTCTTCGTTTTGAGTGCGGCCTTCTCCAGTCCCCGGACCCTGAGCAGGAACCCCGAACCACGCGGGACGGGAAAGGGGCTCCCACAAAGGACGATGAGCTCCAACCATCGGAAAGTGCCCATTTTTGACCTCACACCATTGCATATGGTCCAACCTAGCCCTGCCTTACTAGGTCTGCGTGCGGACTGAACGAGTGGCATTGTCACCTGTAGGAAATGCCAAGTGTGAAACAAGTACCGCCAGGCTATTTCCTTGTGAAGCTGTGTTCTGGAACGTTCCCAGGCCAGGAAGGCAGCACAATAGGCCAGGAGCACAGATTCTGAGGCCGGATGGCCCAGGGTCAGGGGTGGGCTCTGCCTCCTGCTGGCTGCACAACCCTGAGCACGCTACTTAACTCCTAGGCCTCAGTCTTCCCCTCTGTACAATGGGGTTACGCACAGCACCTCCGGGAACTGTGCTCCAGAGCCCCCGCCACGGTCAGGGCTTCCTGCTGCTGCTGGGGGGTGTGGTGGACTCCTGCCAGTCAGACTCTTCCCCCCTTCCCTTCCCTTGGATCCGGGCGCGGGCCTGCCACTGCCTCGGCCAGTCAAACATGGCGAAAGCGAGGTTGTACCTTTTCTGGGCCAGGACTTAAGGGATCAGCAGTTCCCACTTCCTGCTTCTGGAACGTTCTCTCTGCATCGCTTTAATATTAAGGTCTGGGATGAGCCCTTCTTATTTTTTGGGTAATGACTTTGTTGAGACGATATTCAAGTATCATGCAATTCACTCGTCAACAGTGTGCAGCCCTGGCCAGTTGCTCAGGGGCTAGAGCGTCAGCCTGCGGACTGAAGGGCCGTGGGTTCAATTCCCAGTCACGGGCACAGCCCCAGTTGTAGGTTCAATCCCTGCCCTGGTTAGGGTGCTTTTGAGAAACAACCCATTGATTTGTCGCTCATGTCAATGTTTCTCTCTCTCTCCCTCTCTTTCCCCTCCATTCTCCCTAAAACTCAATGGAAAATATATTGTCAGGTGAGAATTTTTTAAAAGCATGCAACTTAATAGCCTTCTAGTATATTCAGAGTCGGGCAACCATTACAATTTTTAGAAATTTTTTTATCACCCTAAAAAGAAGCCCTGTGGTCCTTAGTCATCCCAATCTTCCCATCCTCCGCGCTTTAGCGACTCTGTATAGTTCATATAAACGAAATAATCCAATATGTGGCTCTTTGTGACTGGCTTCTTTCACTTTGTATCATATTCTCTTGTTTAATTGATTTTTAGAGAGAGGAAGGGAGAGGGAGAGAGAGAAGCACTGATGTGAGAGCAAGACATCAATCCAGCTGCCTCTTGCACACCCTGTATTGGGGATCGAGTCTACACTGGGTATGTGCCCTCACTGGGAATGGAACCGGTGACCTCTAGGTGCCCAGGACGACGCCCAACCAACTGAGCTACACTGGGCTAGCAACCTGTTCTCAAGGCTCATCCATCTCATAGCATGAGTCGGCACTTCATTGATTTCTTTTTATAGCTAATACTCCAGTGCCTGGATATACCTCCTTTTGTTTATTAATTCATCAGTCCAATGACATTTGGGTGGTTCCCACTCTTTGGCCCTTATGACTAGTGCTGCCATAAACGTGTGTGTACCGATCTCTGTGTGGGCGGACGCCCTCAATTCCCCCGGGATTTACCGAGGAGCGGAATTGCTGGGTCACGTGGTAACTGCTGAATAGATTCAGGAGCTGCAGGCGGTTTTCCACAGCAGCTGCCATTCCACTTCCGCCAGCCGCGTGTGAGGTCTGATTTCTCCACAGCCTCTCCGGCGCTCGCTAATGCCCGTTTGCTCACAGGAAGTGTGCCAGGCTCTCTCCTGGTGGAGCCTGCACGGTGGAGCCACACCAGCTCATTGGGCGTGGCTGGGCTCCGGGAGCTGGGTTTCCTGTCCTTGTAATGGGAGGACTTACCCCTTCTTCAGGAGTTGCTGCTGCTTTTGTTTTGTTAATCCTCACCTGAAGATCCTGGTTCAGAGAGAATGGGAGGAAGGGAGGAGAGAGAGAGAAACACTGATGTGAAAGAGACACATTGACTGGTTGCTGCCTCCCACTCTCACCCCAACCAGCGGCTGGGCTCATACTGCAACTGAGGTACATATCCTTGACCAGGAATCGAACCCATGACCCTTTGGTGTGGGGGCTGACCCTCTAACCACTGAGAAACGCTGGCCAACTCAGTAGTTGCTTCTTTCCGAGTCCGGCTCTCCTCCAGCTCTCACATGGACTCTCAAACATGGGCCTTTCACCCATCTCCAGTGCGTCCTGATCCGCCATCTCCCCCATTCCTTCCCCCACCCCCCGCCTCTCCTCTGTGCGCCCCTGCTCTGTGCTCACTCCACTGGCTACAGCTCAGGAGTCCCCTAAACCCCGCAGAAGCCCTGGGCTACACGGCCTCCACCCGGTCACCCGGCTTCCACCTCACCCATCTGCTTCCACTGGCTCCCTTGAATGCTGGGGCTCCGTGGGCTTGCCTCAGTTCTCCTCCCATAATCCAGGGCTCCTGCCTTGATTAATCTGACCCCTTAGGGACCTGGGACCATCCATGTGGCATGGGTTCCCAGCGAGGCCAGCCGGCTCTCACATTTACGAATTAAATTTTCCGGCTTCACAGGGTACGAAAGCAATATCCTCCAGTAGCAACCATGCTTCCAATGTTGAATTTTCACACACACACACACACACACACACACACACACACCCGCCTAGTGATACGTGCTAGGGTACTCTCTCATGATGCGGGGAGCAACAGCAAGGTGACTTTGCCCAACTGCAGGCTAAGGTAAGGTTGGCTAGGCTGAGCTATGATGTTTGATAGTTTAATAAGTTACTTTCCTTTTTAAAATATATTATTTTTATTGCTTTTAGAGAGGAGAGAGATGGAAACATCGATGAGAGGAGCGAATCATTGATGGGCTGCCTCCTGCGTGCTCCCCACTGGGGATGGAGTCTGCAACCTGGGCCTGTGCCGACTGGGCACTGAGCCCTGACTCCTGGTTCGCAGGGCGATGCTCGACCGCTGAGCCCTGCCCAGCCGGGCTGGTGGCCTAAGCCTCTTCAATGCGTTTTGGACTTTCGACACCTTGAGTTTTATCGGATGTAACCCCACTGTAAGTCCAGTAGTATTGGAGCAAGAAACATCTTGCTTGCTGCTTTAGTTTCCAAAACAGCGCGGTAACCTGCCCCAGAGCCCCCCGTCTCACTGGGACAGCTCTGTCCCACGCCGCCTTTCTCACGCCGCCTGCCTCGGCGCCTGCCTGCATCCCCGGGGGAAGGCTGCAGCCTCTAGCCAGCTCCCGGTGCCGGCTCCTGGGGCGGAGGAACCAGCTCGGGACAAAGGCACCGCCCCCCGAACCACCTCCACGGTGTGTGACGCGGGCAGTCACACAGGCCCTGTTTGGTTTCACGCTCTGCTCTGGGCCTCTGGGACTTCTCGGAGGTGTGGACCAGGCACCCAGGTGTTCACTGTGCGCAGGGCTCTGCAGGTCGGCAGCCAGTCCCGCTGCCACGCTCAGAGCGCCCTCTCCTGGCTGCTCCTGGGCTGAACTGCAGGCTGAGGACAGTGGGGAGTGGGGGCTGAGGTGCTGGTCTCAGCGCTCACCGCCCTGGGCTGCAGTTCCTTCCAGCCACTTCCCACCAAATTGAACCCATCAGAGGACAAAATCTGGCCCGAGCCCACATGCGGCCATCTGTGGGCGTCTTAGTGTGCACGCCCGTGTGTTTTGCTGCAGAAACAGTAACGTTTGCTGAGGGACCTGCTGGAGGTGCGGTGCCCAAACACAGCTTCTGAGACATCCGCCCAAAGTTTCAGATCCGAGACTGCAGGCCTGGGCCCGTCTCCCCTCATTCAGTCCTCACCCTCGCCCGGGGGGAGGTGCATTGTTACGCCCGTTTTACAGATGAGGAAACTAAGGCGCAGAGAGGTTAAGAAGCTTGCTGGGCCCTAACTGGTTTGGCTCAGTGCATAGAGCATCGGCCTGCGGACTCAAGGGTCCCAGGTTTGATTCCGGTCAAGGGCATGTACCTTGGTTGCAGGCACATCCCCAGTAGGAGGCGTGCAAGAGGCAGCTGAATGATGTTTCTCTCTCATTGATGTTTCTAGCTCTCTACCCCTCTCCCTTCCTCTCTGTAAAAAATCAAATAAATATATATATATATATATTTTAAATCTAAGATGAGAGAGCTGCCTCCTGCACGCCCCACAACCCAGCCATGTGCCCTTGACATAGAATCGAACCTGGGACCTTTCAGTCTGCAGGCCGACGCTCTATCCACTGAGCCAAACCGGCTTCGGCTCATCTTTGATATTTCTCTCTCTCTCTCCCCCTTCTCCCTTCCTCTCTGAAATCAGGCCCGCAACCCGAGCATGTGCCCTTGACTGGAATCGAGCCCAGGATCCTGAGTCAAACTGGGTGGGGATTAAAATAATAATAATAATAACAAATTATATATGTATATATAATTTTTAAATCCGAAGTCCCTGTCCTGGCTCCCACGGGCCGGCCCCTCGCCGGGACCAGAAGCGCGGACTGCTCGGCTCCGGACAGAGGTCCGGGCTCCCTGCTGGGTGGGCCCATGCGGTGCCACAGCCAATGCCGAGGCCCTGGAGGCCACGGCTCACACACCTGTGCCTCCTCCCCGGCCCTAGCTTTCCTCAGCGGAGGTGACAGAAACTGTATTTTTCTAGTCAAAACCACTCAGTGGGGAAGAGGGTTGAGGGCAGCATTTGCATGACAATTTCAGGGCTGGAGCACCAGGGCCTGGCCCGAATCTGGCCCTGGGGGAGGCTGGCTTTGAGCTCTGTCCTCCTCGGGGTCCCGACTTTCGGCTGCTGGAGCCACGGAGGCCCGAAGCAGCCCGGCCACCCCCGTGCCCACCTCAGAAGCAGCTCCCGGCCTCGGGTTTCCCCGCGGCCGCTCGGTTAACCGGCAGCTGGCAGAAGGTTCCAGAGGGAGGAGGGGCTGGCGTGGGGCACGGCCGCCTCGGGGTGAGGGCCTGGCCCCCAGCACCGCATGGAGGGGCTGAGCCGCCGGCAGTTCCGGGGGCGAGTGAGTGCAGCGGGACCCCGGGCCGGGAATCCATCCGGCCCCGCCGGGCCCATCCTACCCGCCTGGCCCTCCTCGCGCCTCGGGCGTCCAGGCCGGGCCCCGGGGCGCAGCTCACAGGTCCCCGCGGCCAGGCCGGCCGGGCCGGCGGGTGGCGGCTGGCAGGGCCCCTGCGGGGAGGGAGGCAGGCTGGTGAGGGGATGGGCAGGGGGCGGTGGTGGTGTTGGGTTTTGCAGCTCAGCCCTGAGCGCCCGCCCAGAACCCCCAGGAGCCGGGGCCTGACGACAGCCACTCGGCACGCACTCCCGAGGGCCGCCCGCTGCCACGCTGCTCCGGGGAGACCGGGGAGAGGACGCTCTCCTCCCGGGCGCAGGTTTGACCCCATCTGTCAGGGGAGAAGGGCGGGTGCTTGCTAAACAGCAGGGTGGGGGAGTGAGGGGCCAGGGGGGTGAGGGGCGGGGGGGGGGGGGCCGGGGAAGGAGCCTGAGGCCCAGATGGACCTCACGCTGCCTCCAGGCCGGAGTCCCTGGCTCAGGGTCTGGTGGGAGCACAACCAGATTCTGTTCCTGAGGGGCTGGGGGTGCGCTCCAGCTCCCAGAGGGGTGGGGGCTGGCCATCCGGGTCCCCAGTGGGCAGGGGGACTCACGGTCTGGCTGCCCAAGGTGCTAAGGGCCAGAGAGTGGCCCGACTGAACCACCAGGCAGGGGAGGGGAGGGAAGGGGCCGGGAGGGGAGCCGGGAGGGGTGTGGGGTTAGGCCCTCCACGCACTGGTGCCCAGGGACTCCGGGCAGATGCCAAATGTCGGCCGCCCGAGCGCAAAATGGCGCCAGGCTCCTCCGAAGGGGCGGAGGGCGGCGCCCGTCACTGGTGAGGGGGGCAGTCTCTGCACACGGCGACAGCACTGGGGACATTGGCGACTGTGAGATCAGGCCGAGGGAGGCTGGAACCCCAGTTCCCCCCAGGTCTCGTGTCAGAGCCAGGGCGCTGGGCAGGGGGGCCAGAAAGGCCCAGCACCCCCAGACCTGAGTGAGCCTCGCTAGGGGCTGCGGTCCTGGGGGCGGGGGCAGTCCAGCGCTAAGTCCTTCCGGCTCTGCCATCCTGAGGCCTGGACTTCTGGCCCCTCAGACAACCGGGCCTGCCCTGCGGCTCTCCCTCCTCCATCAACACACGCCACCCCAACATCTGTCCCCCCATCTGCTCTGGGGACCTCAGGAGCAGTGCTGAATGTGGGGGCCCAGATGCCTGTGCCCTGAGGCCTAAGGCAGCCGCCTGCAGGCTGAGCTGATGGGATCTGCTCAGACCCCAAGGAGTCCTGGGGGAAGCCACCATCTGCCTTCCCTGCCCCACAGGCTTCGCACCCGCTCCCCACCCCCACCCCTGTCTGTCCTCCCCTCACCCCCCACCCCCACCCCTGTCTGTCCTCCCCTCACCCCCCACCCCCACCCCTGTCTGTCCTCCCCTCACTCCCCACCCCCACCCCTGTCTGTCCTCCCCTCACCCCCCACCCCCACCCCTGTCTGTCCTCCCCTCACCCCCCACCCCCACCTGTCTGTCCTCCCCTCACTCCCCACCCCACCCCTGTCTGTGCTCCCCTCACTCCCCACCCCCACCCCTGTCTGTCCTCCCCTCACTCCCCACCCCCACCCGTCTGTCCTCCCCTCACTCCCCACCCCCACCCCTGTCTGTCCTCCCCTCACTCCCCACCCCCACCCCTTTCTGTCCTCCCCTCACTCCCCAGCCCCTCACCCGTCTGTCCTCCCCTCACTCCCCACCCCCACCCCGTCTGTCCTCCCCTCACTCCCCACCCCCACCCCTGTCTGTCCTCCCCTCACTCCCCAGCCCCTCACCCGTCTGTCCTCCCCTCAGCTCGGTTCTTTGGGCTTTGCACCCAGGGGGGAAAGGGTTAAGGGCCGTGGAGGCTGGGAGGCCCAGTGGTTTGGCGATAATCCCCTCCGTGCCCGGGGTGTGGAGAACCAGGTTAGGGCTCCACGTGGGAAAGGGGCTCACTCTGATCCCTGCAGGCCGGGGCCTGGCCTCCAGCTTCTGATCGCCCGCCCGCCCGCCCGCCCGCACCTTCCCTCCGCCCCTTCCCCCCGCCAGGCCTGGCCGGGCCCGCTGAGCTGTCTGTGCTCTGGATCCCAGATGCCGCAGCCGCAGCCGCAGCCCGTCTGCCCGTCTGCCCCAGCCCTGGGCGCCCTGGGCCCTGCCCGCCTCCCCGTGGACGCTGGGTGCTGGGCTGCCCGCCCGGGCCTCCCCGCCTCCCGTCGGCCCTTCCCCAGGGCTTGCTCTCCCCTCCTGTCTGTCTCTGTGGCTGTGCCTCTGGCCCTTTGTCTTAGAGCTCCATCCATTTCTAAACACCCCTCCCCTGCTAAGCTCTGACCCACAACCCTGATCTGATGCCCTCCTTCAGGCTCGCCACCTGCCCCCCCCCCCACCGCCCTCTCCCCAGGGCCCCGGCCCCCGACACTGAAAGATCTCTCTGGGGTGTTAAGCTACGGATTAGTTCAGGCAAAATTCTCGATTTTGCTTGCGTTCTTTCCCCTTTGGGTTGTGTAAACAGTAATTCTCCCCAGATGGAACTATTTTCCTCGCTTCAGGCAGCCGGGAGGGGCGGGGCGGGGCGGGGCGGAATGCTGGGGTCTCGGGGGTCCGGTGGAGGGGGACTCAGCCTGGCCCCTCCTGTCCTTCCCAGGTGCGGGCCCTGCGGAGACCATGTCCGTGACCTTCGCCCTCTTGCTCCTCCTGAGCCAGGCCACCTCAGACCCCTGCTACCACCCGGGGGGCCGCCCCCGCTTCTGCCTCCCACCGGTCACCCAGCTGGCCGGCGTGGCGGCCTCCTGCCCGCAGGCCTGCGCCCTGGCCGCGGGGGCCGAGGCGGGCGGCAGGGCCCCCTGCAATGGCAGCCTGACCCTGGCCCTGGGCGGCTCCTTCCTGCTGGCGTCCGTCAGCCTGCGCTTCTGCACCCCGGGGCCCCCGGCGCTGGTCCTGTCGGCCGCCTGGGCCGCGGGAGGCCCCTGGAGGTCGCTGTGGCGCAGGCCCGCCTGGCCCGGCGCCCTGGGGGGCCCCGGAAAAGTGACCTTCCGTGCCCCGCCGGGCTCCAAGGCCAGCCTGGTGGCCAGTCGCCTGCGCGTGGAGCTCGGGGGCCGGGCGGGGCTGGCGGCGGCCGGAGTGAGAGGACGCTGCCAGTGCCACGGCCACGCCGCCCGCTGTGCCGCCCGCGCCCGGCCCCCCCGCTGCCGCTGCCGCCACCACACCGCCGGCCCCGGGTGCGAGAGCTGCCGCCCGTCCCACCGAGACCGGCCCTGGCGGCCGGCCACGCCCTGGCACCCCCACCCTTGCCTACGTGAGTCCTGGGCCTGCTCTCCCCACCCTCACCCACCACCGGCCCACAGCCCTGGTCCTAGGGGCACGGTGCTCCCCACCCAGAGCCGCCTGCCCCTGCTTCTCCCCTCGCTGTTCTCCCGTTGCCTCCCCGCCCATGAGGGGGCTCCTGCTCTCCCTCACACTCCGTCACAATGAGAATGGCATGAATGGCATCTTTCCAGCACCCATCCCAGGCCTGGCCTTCTGCAGGGGCCCCGAGTACACCGACTGGCAGGTTATAGGGATGGGCACGGGCCCTTCCCTCACTCGCTCATTGTGCAGCCATGGCCAGGCAAGCACTGCCATCAGGCCCATCTTACAGACGAGGAGACTGAGGCCAAGAGGGGGAAGCCCCTCTTGCAAGGACACACAGCCAGTGAGTGGCTGGGCCAGAAGCTGGGCCGGGGGTCCTGGCTTGTCCCTGCCGGGCTCCCGTCTGGCGCGGTCACACGCCGTGTCCTGGGGCAGCAGCCAGGACTCCCTGCCCGGCTCGCGTTCCCGCTCCTCCGGTGTGACCCTCTTCTCTGCCTCTGTTTCCCCACCTGCAAAGCGGGGGCAGGAACAGTATTTCCTTTATGGGCGGCAGCGAAACCATGAGCTCATTAATATGCAGGAAGTCCTTAGAGCAGGGGTGGGGAATGTCCGGCCCTCGGGACCTCTAAGGCCTGGGAAGTCATGTGGCCTGGCCCTGCCAAGGCCTTAGGGGTGAGTTAATTGTTAATTAAATGTTTGCCCAACTACAGCAGGCTGATTTTTAAGTGGGTAATATCGTCGGGCCCTCGAATGATGTTATAAATATCCAAACGGCCCCTGGCAGAAAAGGGGTCCCGCTCTGCCTGGAGTAAAGCCTCATGGGGTACCTGGCACACACTGTGGGGTCTCTGCCAATGTTGCCACCCCCCAGATAGGGAGGCGAGGCCCGGCCCGCACCCATCACTTGCCCTAAGTCTCGCCGCCAGCAGGGCCGCTCCCAGCATTCCCTGGGCTGGCCGCTCAGCCTGATGGCAGCTCTGAGTCTGGGCCCCTCCCTCCCGCGCAGAAGCCCCTCCCACCTCAGCTGGCTGCCCTTGCTAGCTGGTCTGATGTGCTTGATACCAGGCCCTGCGAGGAGACCCCCCTCCACTGAGAAACACAGGCACAGAGGCACAAAGACACACGCAAACACGCACCCCAGTTCCTGGACCCCCTTCCTCTACCTCCCACGTTCTCTGCCCTTTCACCCTCTGTGTCTTCTTGCAATGACTGACTTACAGACCATCCACTGTCCTCAGCTCCCCACTCTGTCCTCACCCTCCCTGGGGTCCTCCTTGATCCTCTGCCCACACCTCCTCAGGGCCTCTGCTCAGTCGATCCTTTCCCACCAGCCAGATCTGAGTGGGGCAGGGGAGACTGACACGGCCTGGGAAGAACCTGGGAGCAGGGGGGAGGCTGTCCCTCTGCAAATCAACGCGCCCCCCCCCCCCCACACACACACACAACCAGGCTGAGCTGGGCACCTCCCTCTGAACCTGAGAATGAGACACCTGCTGGGATGGAGAAGGGTGGAGACAGGGGGAGACTAACTGTGCGGAAGCAGCAGGCTTCCCGGAAGTGGTGGCCTGAACCCCTTCCCCACCTGAGCTCTCCTCCCGCCAGAAAGAATCCAAAGGCCGGGACTAATTCCCCGAGGGCTCCTTGAGATCCCCAGGGAACAGGGCGGAAGCCAAGGCTTCCCAAGGACACACGATACCCCGGCTCCCTGCGACCTTCCCACTGTTCCTCTGGCTCTCGGACCTGCCAGCCCAGCCTCCACCTCGTGGAGTCCACAGCCCCTTCCATCTCTGCGAGGAGTGGTCCACGGACCCCCCCACGTCAGCATCTCACTTTGGGGTGCCTGCTAGAGGTACGAGAATGCCACACACCGGGCACCTGGCCCGCGGAAGCTTAACGGCAGGTGCGTGCAGTGTGTCTGGCCCTGCGTTGAGTGCTTTCTATCTATTACACATGTGTCAAACACAAGGCCCGCGGGCCAAATCCGTCCCGCCAGGCCTTGCAATGTGGCCCGCACCGCGCTGTCATCACTGCACTCCGCTGCGTTTCCATCACAATGACAGTTTATGACTGTTCAGTAAACCATTCGGCCCGCGATTTAGGCTGGATTTTAGATTTTGGCCCCTTCTCTGATTGAGTTCGACACCCCTAATCTATTAGGTTTCATTGAAACCGCACGATGCAGATATTGTAAGTGTCATTTCACAGCAAAGGAAGCTGAGCTACGAAAAGGAGAAGCCACATGCCCAAGGAACGGACACGTGGGACACGCACACGTAGGGTCTGACTCCGTAGCCCACGCCCAGAGCCCCCGCTCTTTAAGCCCCTGGTTTCACACCATCGGGTTCATCAGTCCCCGTGGGCTTACCCGGCCCCCGTGCCCCCATTTTAAAGACGAGAATAAAGAGGCTCTGAGACGCAGGCTTAACCGGGTACCCCCACCAGGCAGTCTCTCTCACGTCGTATCCCCAGGCCATTTCCCGGGGGGCAGCGGGAGAAAACGGGGGACAGGGAACAGAAAGCCGGGCTCTGACGGGCCCCGTCTCGCTCCCAGCCTGTTCCTGCAACCAGCACGCCCGCCGCTGCAGGTTCAACGCGGAGCTGTTCCGGCTGTCGGGGGGCCGCAGTGGCGGCGTCTGCGAGCGGTGCCGCCACCACACAGCGGGGCGGCACTGCCACTACTGCCAGCCCGGGTTCTGGAGGGACCCCAGCCAGCCCATCACCAGCCGCACGGCCTGCAGGGGTGAGTGTGGACCCAAGTCCCGCCAAGGCGGGTCTGAGGCGGGAGGGGCTGGGGGTCGGAGAGGGCGGCTCTAGGGCCCAGACACCGCCCGCCCCATCCCAGATCCTCTCTTCCTACAGCCTGCCAGTGCCACCCGATCGGGGCCACAGGGGGCACCTGCAACCAGACCAGCGGGCAGTGCTCCTGCAAGATAGGGGTCACGGGCCTGACGTGCCGCCGCTGCAGCCCTGGCTACCAGCAGAGCCGCTCCCCCAGGATGCCCTGCCAGCGTGCGTCCTGCATGGGGTTGGGATGAGGCACCCCGGATGTCCGGCGGACCAGCATGACGAGGGCTGGGTCCCGGGATGGGAGTAAGAGGCAGGAGGCCGGGTGCTGGCTTCTGGGGGAAGTCGTCTCAGTCTCAGAGAGGAAAAGGCTGGGGGCCTGGACTCCTCCATCGGAGGGAGGCGGGGCTGGGGGTGCAGATTCCTGGGTCTGAAGGGAGAGGGGCCGGGGACTGGACTCGGCGCCTGCCCTCTTACACCTGAAGAGAACAGATGGGCAGCTGGATTCCTGGGGGGTAGTGCGGGGGAGAAGGCGGGAAGGAACTAAGGTTAATTTTCTCCTCCCGTCTCTCATAGGAATCCCAGAGGCAACAACCACCCTGGCGACCACCTCTAGCGCTTACAGCTCCGGTAAGACGGGCCGGTGTGGAGGTCCTCACCGGCGACCGGCTCTGGGGCTGGGCTGGTTGGGCTCCCCAGTGGGGATACGGGGTGGCCCAGGGAGCTCCCTCCCAGGCTCTGAGCACCCCAGCTGCCCATCAGGACGGAGTGTGGGGGCTGGGCAGGGACAGAACACTGTGGTCCTGGCCTCAGGAGCCCCCTGCAGACAGCCTGACCCTCCCCAGACCCTCAGTGCCATAACTACTGCAATGCCTCGGACACCAGGGTACACATGAGCCTTCGGAGGTACTGCCAGCAGGACTACGGTGAGTGATGGCGGGGAAAGGGCCCGCAGCCGCAGAGGTGCCCGGAGGCCATGCCAGCCCCCTCCCTGGCCTCTTTCTCCTCCTCAATGGGAAGGGTGCCCTTCCTGCTATGGGACCTCATGCGACCGAAGACAAGTAGGGGTTGGGGCAGTGGGAGGGAGTGTCCCCTCCCCCACGACGCCTCCTCTTTCCCTCTGTGCCTGGCCTTGTCGAGGTTCACTATCTCCCTCAGCCTGCGTGTCTGAGAGAGAGAAGTGGCCTCCTCCGGGGCGGGAGGAGAAAGGGGACCTGGTTGAATGGACCGGGCCCTTGCCTTGTCTTGCCCACCTCCGACCCTCTCGGCCTCACTTCAGGGTCCCCTGTCTGAGCCTCAGCCCCACTCCCACAGAGACGCACCCCCTTCCAGATGTGATCCCGGAAGCCCACCCTCGGGTCCCATCCCTTCCCCATCAGAAGTGACCCACGGGACCCCGGAGGCTCCCCGGCACCCTGGGCCTGACCTCTCTCCTCCCGCTCAGTCCTCCACGCGCAGGTGCTGGCGGCAGAGGCGGCGGAGGCGGCGGAGGCGGCGGGCCAGGCCTGGCGGCGGCTGGCCCTGCACGTGCTGGCCGTGTACAGGCAGCGGGCGCGGCCCGTGCGCCGCGGCGGCCAGGAGGCCTGGGTGCCCGGCGCCGACCTGGCCTGCGGCTGCCTCCGCCTGCAGCCCGGCTCCCACTACCTGGTGCTGGGCAGCGCGGCGGGCCAACCCGACCCCGCGCGCCTCGTCCTCGACCGCCACGGCCTCGCACTTCCCTGGAGGCCGCGCTGGGCCGGGCCGCTGCGGCGGCTGCAGCGGGAGGAGCGAGCAGGCGGCTGCCGCGCCCTGGAGCCTCCGACCCCGGCCTAGCGCCGGAGCCCGGAGCCCGGAGCCCGGAGCCCGGAGCCCAGCGGCCTCGAAAGCCAACCAACGTGCCAGGAGGAGCCACCAGCAGGGCATTTTACCTCGACGGCGCGCGTCGCTGAGCCAATCAGATCTCGCGGTGGCTCTGACGTCACTGGCCTGCGCCAGCACCGTGCGGGCAGGGAGGCCTCTGAACCAAAGGCAGCTGCAAACTGCAAACGGGACCTTGGGTTCTCTGGCTGCACATCGGCCCGAGTCCTGTGAAACTGGTCTCTTCAATAAAGTCTTAAGTCGTGAGGGAGTTTGGCTACAGACCCCTGATCTGTGTCGGAGGGTTTCTGAGGGGCGAATGAAGAAGGCCTCGAGTAAATCGGAGGAGTCCGAAGATGGCTACCACTCCCTGAGAAAATGGCCAATCCAATGAAAGCGGTGAGGTGACGTCACTAAGCGCTAGGCAGATTGTGTTGCCCAATGATTGGGTGAAAGCGAGGGGGTGCGGACAGTGGCTGGAAAAGGCGGGAATGTGTCTTTTCAGGATGGCAGTGCCAGATTTCCAGAAAGTTCCAGATTTAGGAAACTTTCCGTTCTAAGAAGGATCTCAGGGTGGTTTCTGAGAAGGAAATAAAAAACCTTTGGAATAAATATCCGACAGTGGTTCTGAGTGGGGTCCACCTAGTCTGGAAGCATAGCCTAAGCCCTTTCCCGAGAGAATAGCCAATTGCAAGCCACAGAGTAGTATGACATCACTTGGTGCTAGGCAGAATTCCATCCTACCCAACAACCGGGTACCTATAGGCCAGAGGGATGGAGTTAAAAAGGCTGGACACAGTAAATATGATGGAATGGAAAGATGTCATGTCCTAGGATTTTTTTGCCACCCTGACCTCTGCCCCCGGGCTTAAAATCAACAACACAATTTCAGTTTGGGTGAGCTTTGCAGGGAAGTCACTAAGAAGTGCTTTGAAGAAGTCTCAGCAGAAAGGAAGTGATTTGAAGACCATTTGGGCTTAGGGAACAACCCTGTTCCTTCCTTGAGAGAAAGTGGCCTCTCAGCCAATGGGGAGCTAGGGTGGGCCATAGCGTTATAGAGAGATTGGGTCCTTCAGTAATAAATGTTCAGGGTAGCCCTAGCCAGCTTGGCTCAGTGGATAGAGTGTCCGCCTGAAGAGTCCCAGGTTCAATTCCGGCCAAGGGCTCGATCCCCAGTAGGGGGCGTGCAGGAGGCAGCCGATCAATGATTCTCATCATTGATGTTTCTATCTTTCTTGCCTTCTCCCTTTCTGTCTGAAACCAATAAATATACATTTTTTAAATGTTCAGGGTAGCTGAAACCGGTTTGACTCAGTTGATTGAAAGGTCCCAGGTTCGATTCCGTTCAAGGGCATGTACCTTGGTTACAGGCACATCCCTGGTGGGGGGTGTGCAGGAGGCAGCTGGTCGATGTTTCTCTCTCATCGATGTTTTTAGCTCTCTATCCCTCTCCCTTCCTCTCTGTAAAAAATTCAATAAAATATATATTTTTTAAATTAAATAAAATGAACTAAAATTTAAAATTCAGTTCCTCCATCGTATTCGCCACATTCCAAGTGGCTGGTGCTCAGCGGCTGGTCAGAGCGATGCAGGCCATTTCCACCATCACAAGGAGGCCTGTGGGTGGCCCAGCTCTGAGCTTGTTCGCACGAAGATCACAGCGTCTGGAGCCAGACTGCCCGGGTTCAAATCCTCCCATCTCTCAGTTTGCTCATCTCTAAAATGGGGATGAGGATGATAACGGCAGGGAGTAACCCACGAGCATGCTGAGGGTTAAATGAGTTCATATGTGTACATCATGGGCTTAGAGCAGTGCCTGGTACAGCATAAGAGCCATTTGAGTTTGTCGTTATTATTTATTTATTTTAAATATTTTTTATTGATTTATTTTTTATTGAGAGGAAGAGAGAGGGACAGAGAGTTAGAAACATCGATGAGAGAGAATCATCAATCAGCTGCATCCTGCACACCCCCTACTGGGGATGTGCCCACAACCAAGGTACATGCCCTTGACCGGAATGGAACCTGGGACCCTTGAGTCCGCAGGCCGACGCTCTATCCACTGGGCCACACCGGTTTCGACTGTGGTTATTATTTTAACACACATCTCTCCCGGGAGAAGAGTGCTCAGGGGGGAGAACACAGAGAAGAGGAGGAGGAAGGCGGTGGGAGAGGCCCAGAGGGGCTGTGGGAACCACCAGGGCCTGAGCAGCCCCGGCCTCCTGCTCCCACCCAGAGGCTGGGAAGGTGGGAGATGAAAGTGCGGAGCAGGCAAGACCCATATGTTCCTCACGACCCAAGCTTTGTTCCCAGCCCCCGAGACCAACAGGCGTGAAATCCACATCTGGGACCCACTGCCGGCCCGGCCGTTCCCTCGGGCACCGAGCCCAGCCTGTCTGCACTGTAACGGAGGTGGCACAGGTGGCCGCCCGGGCTCCGAGGAGGCCCCTGCCCACCTCAGCTCCGCAGTGGCTTCCTGCGAGAGCAGACTCCGGGGTGCAGCCAGGCCTGACAGGCCTTTCCCCGGGGGGAGAGCCGGACAGAGCAGTGAGAGGCAACCATTTCTGCAGAGGTCCTGAGGCCAAAGGGCCTGGGGTAGCAACAGGGGAGAGATTCGGCTGGGAGCCGGGGGTGTCCAGATCAGGGAGGGGGGCCTCTAGGGCCAGGCTGGGGGCCTGGGCTTTTCCTCGGGGGCACTGGGGAGCCATGGGAAGTCTCTGAGCAGGGGAGGGGCAGTCAGCTGTGTGAGAAAGGGGTATGGACAGTCACTGACCTGGATCAGCTCACTGAAGAGCCAGGGAAGGCCGCGAACCCAGCTCGGAGGTCAGAGCGGGTGACCTCGGAGGCAGGCCCTGAGGGCAGGAGAAGGACCTGGGGTGGAAACTTTGTCCAAGGTGCTGGGGGCTGTGGGGCTGCTATGACTAGGGAGAGGCAGCTCAACTCTAGATGTATCAAGACCATGCTGGCCCTAACCGGTTTGGCTCAGTGGATGGAGCATCGGCCTGCGGACTCAAGGATCCCAGGTTCGATTCTGGTCAAGGGCATGTACCTTGGTTGCAGGCACATGCCCAGTAGGGTGTGTACAGGAGGCAGCTGATTGGTGTTTCTCTCTCATCAATGTTTCTGACTATCCCTCTCTCTTCCTCTCTGTAAAAAAAATCAATAAAATATATATTAAAAAACAAAAAAAGACCACTCTGGTCTGTGGAGGGAGTCTGGAGGGGGAGGGAGCCTGCAGGGGGAGGGAGCTCTGAGGGGGGTGGAGCCCGAAGGGGAGAGGGGTTCTGGAGGGGAGGGGAAGGGAGCCTGGAGGAGGAGGGAGCCTGGAGAGGGAGGGAGCCTGGAGGGGGAGGGAGCCTGGAGGGGGAGGGAGCCTGGAAGAGGAGGGAGCCTGGAGGAGGAGGGAGCCTGGAGGGGGAGGGCATTGTAGGTAGACCCTGTTTTTCCTGCCCTGTCAGTTCACCTGTCTCTCCCTCTCCTCTCTGATTCCTTCCTTGTCTGCCTTTGAGAAATTCCATGTTTTTCTTATTGTCTCCCACCCCTGGGGTCAGCTGCTGAAAACAATGACCACCAATGGTGCTGCTTAAAATGACATTTATTCTCTCCAAGTTCTGGAGGCCGGAAGTCCAAAGCCCGGGAGTTGGCAGGGCCACAGCCCGTCCGAAGGCCGTATGGGCCTCCGCGCACCTTCCAGCTTCTGGTGACTCCTAGCGTCCCTTGGCTTGTGGCCCCATCACTGCACCTGTCTTCACATCCCTGTCCCTGTCTCCAGTCCCCTCTGCCTTTCTCCTCTGAGGCCCCTGTGACTGGATTTAGGGTCACCTGGATCGTGGAGGATGCTCTCATCTCAAGGTCATGAACTTAATCACATCTGCAAAGACCCTCTGCCAAATAAGGCCCAAGTGCAGATCGCAGGTGGACACGCCTTCCTGGGGGAGGGGCTGTGCCCATTCAGCCCCCCACATCCCGGGCCAGGCACTGCCCTCTCTGAGCCTGTGTCCTGACTGGATACGGGGCTGATACCAGCCGCACATCGCAGGGCAGCTTTAAGGGTTGCCCTGGGATCCGGGAAGCTCTGCCATTTTTTCTGGTGGAGAAATATCTCCTCAGAGCCGGGTGATCTGTGGGTCTTTCTCTGCCCCTTTCTCACCACGACACACACACACACACACACACACCCGCTTCTCCGCACCTATGTCTCCATCAGGTTCTCTCCATCTGTCTTTCCTGGTTTTCTCCCCTGCTCTGTCACTTCCTAAGTGCCATGGGGCAGGTCACCCCTGACTTGGTTTCCTCATCTGTAAAATGGGACAACAGCCTCCGCTTCCTAGGGCAGCTGGGAGGGCTACCCGAGTGGCTCTTAGCGATGCTCAGCATTTTGTTTTGTTTTTTAATATATACATTTTAAATATATTTTGTTGATTTTGTACAGAGAGGAAGAGAGAGGGATAGAGAGTTAGAAACATCGATGAGAGAGAATCATCTATCAGCTGCCTCTTGCATACCCCCTACTGGGGATGTGCCCGCAACCAAGGTACATGCCCTTGACCAGGATCGAATCTAGGACCCTTCAGTCTGCAGGCCGACGCTCCATCCACTGAGCCAAACCGGTTTCGGCCTGATGCCCAGCGTGTGCCTGGGATGCAGTAGGCGCTCCCTGTTGTTATTAAAGTTGTTCTTATCATGACCGTGGTTTCCATGTCTCGCCTCTTTTCCCGACTCCACAGCGCCCTCTGTCTCTCGGACACATTTCTGCATTTCTGAGAACCTGTCTCACCAAACTCCAGACCTTGAAAGGTTTGTCCCTGCCCAGGCTATCTCTCTTCCCTCCCCACCTGTGATGGTCTCTAAAAAAGCCCACACATTTTTAGGCTTTTTCCTTCCAGGGGAAGAGTGTGGGCAGGACTCAGTGACTCATTCCCATGGAGGGACTGTGTGTGAGACTTTAAAAAAACACAAACAGCCGAAACCGGTTTGGCTCAGTGGATAGAGCGTCAGCCTGCAGACTGAAAGGTCCCAGGTTTGATTCCGGTCAAGGGCATGTACCTTGGTTGTGGGCACATCCCTAGTGGGGGGTGTGCAGGAGGCAGGTGGTTGATGTTCCTCTCTCATTGATGTTTCTAGCTCTCTATCCCTCTCCCTTCCTCCTGTAAAAAAAAAAAAAAATCAATAAAATATATATTTTTTAAAAATAAAAACACACAGATATTTTTATTGATTTCAGAGAGGAAGGAAGGAGAGAGAGGAGCATCAACGATGAGAGAGGATCATTGATGGGCTGCCTCCTGCACGCCCTCTACTGGGCATGGAGCCTGCAACCCGGGCATGTGCCCTGATGGGGAATGGACACCTCGACCGTGAGCTCCTGGTTCATAGGTGGATGCTCAACCACGGAGCCACGCCGCCTGGGCTGTGTGTGACGTTGGAGATGAGGTCATACAAAACATCTCCCTCTCCCTCCCTCCACCCCCCACAGCTCCCCCTGGCGGAGCTGGAAACCATGGTGTGAGGACACTCAAGCAGCCCTAGAAAGGCCGTGTGAGGAGGAGCTGAGGCCCGAGCCCAGGCTGCCTGGTTGATCTTGGACGTGGACCTAGCAGCCTGGACCGAGAGGCCTCGCTGGGACCACCCCCTAGAGGGCTCCGAGGCTCCCACCCTCAGGAACTGTCAGACGATGGGTGGTTGGGTGGTTGTGTTAAGCCAGTCCATGTGCGGTGATTTGTTAGGTGACAATGGGTAATTCATATACCCCTCTCTTCCTTGTGTTTTCTCCGTCTCTCTCCATTTTGGCTCTTTCTGGGTGTCTCCGCCTTCTCCTCCGTCTCTGGGTCCTTAACCCTCCATTTCCAGTTCTCCATCTCTGCATGCCTCCTTCTGCTCCCTTAAGGCCGGTTTGTCTGTTTCCAGCCCCCCCTCCCTCTGCCCGGGTGGGTCTCCGCCACCCAGGCCTCCCTGTGGAGATCTCTGTCTCTCTGCAGGAGGGTCTCTCCTTACAGATGTGCCTGCGTGTGTCCGCCTCGCTCCTCCCGGCCTCTGGCCCCGGCCAGTGTGCTTCTATCTCTCTGCCTCTCCTTAGTGCTTGCTGTGCCCGTCTCTCCATCTCTTTTCTGCTTCTGTCCCTCCCCACCGCCTCCTGCCCGGCGGCTGGTGTCTCCCCCCCACCCCCCGCCCGGGTCTCTCTGCCTCTGTCTCTGTCCCCACCTGCATCTCTACGCCCATCTCTGTGTGTCTGCATCTTTCCTTTGCCTCCACCTGTCTCCCTCCTTCATCCCCCTCCTCCTGTGTCTCTGTCTCTGTTTCTCTCTATCTGTATTCCTCTCTCACTTGGGGTGTGCCTCTGTCTCTCGCCCTCCCCCTCCGGCCTGCCATCTCCCTCCGACCTGTCTCCCCGCATCCAGCTCGGGCTCCCCTTCCCTCCCAGCCTCCGCATCCCCCACCTCCCTCCCTCCCCTCCCTGGACCCGGGCCTCCCGCTGCTCCTCCTCGCCCTCCCCGCCTCCTCTCCCTCTCCAGGTCTCTGCCGCCCCCTCCTGGCCAGCGGCCCGCACCGCACCCCAGGCTCCCAGGGGATCCCCGGCCGGTTAAGGCCGCCCCTGGCGGAGGCCGGCGGGGAGCGCCGGGCGGGGGCGCGGACCGGGCGCAGGCTCCAGCCGGTGTCTCCGAGGATGGGGGGCCCGATCCGCCGGGGCTGGGCCGCCGAGCACGCCGGCGGGGGGCCTCCCCAGCTCCACCTTAAGGGCCGCCTTCCCCCTCCCCTCCGCGGAGGACGGGGCTGCCGGCTGGGCCCCAGGTGTCCGGGCCGTCACCGCCCCGCGGCTCCCGCCACCCCTCCAGGCGCCCTCCCTGCCCCGTGGGCGTATCTCACACTCACACACACACACACACACACACACACTCACACACACACTCACACTCACACACACACACACTCACACACACACACACACACACACTCACACACTCACACACACACACTCTCACACACACACACACACACACTCTCACACACACACTCTCTCACACACACACCCCTACCTGCCCCAGGCGTGTTCGCTGCTGGGAGAGCACCCGCCCCCCAACAACCACAAAAAAAAAAAAAAAAATTAAATAACCCGGAGAAAGGGCGGGGGAGGAGGGAGGAAGGGACCAGAGAGAAGAGAGAGACAGGGAAGCAGAAGAGGCAGGAGAGGAGGAGGGAGAGAGAGGAGCTTAAAGGGGGAGAGAGGAGGTGAGGAGGGAGAAGGGAAGCAGAGGCAGGAGCAGAGAGGGGGAGGAAGGAGGAGGAGGAGGAGGATGGGGACATGGAGTTAGGTGGCCTGGGGGAGCTTAATGCAAAGAGCCGAGAGGGGGTGTGGATTAGAGACCGAGAGGCAACCTCGGGGAGCAGCAGAAGGCAGCGAGCCGGGTAGATCAGGAGGCAGAGGAGGCTGGGGGCTGGCGACGGAGAGGGAGGAGGAGAGACACCGAGGGGAGGAGAGGAGTGGGCTGGGTGTTGGGGGTCCGGGACTCCCCGCGGGGAGAAGAGGAAGGCTGGAAGTCCTGGAGGGACAGGGTCCCCGGGAGCAGAGAGGAAAGCGCTGCGGGAGGGGTCGCCCGGAGGCCGCCCGGGCATGGGCGGTGCAGCCAGTCTGAGCGCCCCCCGCGCGCTGGTGCTCGGGGCTGCACTGGGGGCCGCAGGTAAGGCCTGGGGCCCGGGGTCCGGGGCAGGAGCCCCTGAGGGAGGGGCGGGGCGGGAGTGCCAGGGAGAGGGGGTTCAGGCTGCTCTCTCCCCAGCTCACATCGGACCGGCACCTGACCCCGAGGACTGGTGGAGCTACAAGGATAATCTCCAGGGAAACTTCGTGCCAGGTGCAGCCGGGGAGGGGACCCCGCAGCCCAGGCCCCGCGGCAGGCACCGCCTTCCTCGGACCCGGCACCCTCTCCTCCCCGGGAGTCCCAGCCCCTCCCTCCCTCCCCCAGGAGCCCAGCCCAGCCTCTGAACCCCGGTAGCTCACCATGGGACATTATACATGTGCATTTCAAGTAGTGAGTGGGAGTGAGTGGGAGGGGAGTGTGTGGGGGTGGAAGAGTGTGTGTGTGTGTGTGTTTGCAGGGAAGAGGTAGGCAGGTCCTGGCTCCTGCTGGCAATCAGAGGTTCAGGGGCCCCCTGCCCTCCCTTGTCCAGCCCCCACTTGCAAGTCCTCCCTCTCCTCAGTACATTATATTATATGACCCAGCTGTGCTGCAGGGGAGACAGAAAGAACTACCACTCCCATAGGCACTGGGGGAAGTCTGGCATTGGATGACTAGGCTGGCAGCCCTAGAGCCTGCTGGGAGTTGTAGTTCCTTCTCCCAATGACTTCATTTAACATAGGTTAGATCAGGGAGAGGACTTGGAGGTTTTGGAGGGTCTTAACAAACTCCTCCAAGATTCTTCTAGAAGCCAGGATTCTGGACCCCAGCTCCCTTCTCCCTCAGATCCAGGAGCCTAGACCACAGCCCTCTCAGCAGATGCCAACGTTGGGATCCAGTGCCTGGATCTGACTCCCTTTCCGCCCTGCCCTGCCCCTGCCCCCAGGGCCTCCCTTCTGGGGCCTGGTGAACGCAGCCTGGAGCCTGTGTGCCGTGGGGAAGCGGCAGAGCCCCGTGGATGTGGAGCTGAAGAGGGTTCTTTATGACCCCTTCCTGCCCCCACTGAGGCTCAGCACTGGGGGCGAGAAGGTAAGGGGCCTGGTGGGAGGGGTTGCCAAGCCCACTGCGGCGGTGGGTCTGAGCGGAGGCTGGGGTGGGACACTGAGGTGGGGGGCCAGCCTTGGGGAGGAAGGGGTACACGCTGCCACCCTACAATGGGCCCCCTGTTCTCTCCTCCCCGCACGTGGCTCACTCATCTCCCCATCTCTGTGGAAGCAATGGTAAAACAGGGTGTCCGTGCCAGGCATCGTCTTAAAAGCTTGTTCAACCCTCTCATCCTCACAGCAGCCCCACGATGCAGGTGCTCGTGTCCTTATTTTATGGCTGCAGAGATGAGGCACAGCGGTCCATTTGCCTGAGGCCACGCAGCTAGCGTGCCAGCACTGGGATTCAGACCCAGGCAGCGCTGTCCCAGCATCTGTGCATGCTTCTCGCCCACTTGGCAACACCATTTCTTAGGAGGGCCAGCACCACCCTTCGCTCACCTGCCCAGCTGAGAGCCGCGGAGCCATTTCCCACCCCGTTCTCGCCCTCATTCCCATGTCCAACGTGTCCTTCCGGTCTCCCCGCTGAATATCATGCACTCGTCGCCTTGGCCGCCCCCACCCGCGTCTTACAGCCAGACTGGTGCCATGGCTTCCTTGCTGGCCTGTCTGTCTGTCTCCTGCAGTCCAATCCCCACCCCACAGCTAGAGAGATGTTTAAAAACACCAACCAGATCATACCTCCCCTGTTCAAAATCCTTCCGTCAGCCTAAATAATAGCAAACACTTGCCTGGCACTGTACCAAGTGTATGTGTGTATAGGGAAAGAGGCAGGTGCTCACACATGTGTGCATGTGCACACACACACACACACACATACATATGTATATATATACTAGTACTGCCCATGAATCCGTGCACCAGTAGCTCTCTGCCCACTGCCTTGCCCTCCTGTAGCTCTGCGCTGCCTGCTTGCAGCTCGCTGCCCACCCTCCTGCTCATCCCTGATAGGGTCATTACACGGTAGGTGTTATGCCTCACGGCGGAATGACCATTTCATATTACATCTTTATTAAATAGACTTAATAGTTCAAATAAAAATACAAAATGTCCCATCTAGCTCTCATCGCCATTCTCTCCTTTGCTCATGACTCTAGTCCCACGGCCTCTTCGCTGTCACTCAAATAGTCCGCCTCAGGGCCTTTGCACTTGCTGTTCCCTCCTCCTGGAATGCCCTTCTCCCTGCTCTTCCGCACTCCAATCCAGGCCAGATTCCCCATTATACTTTCCCAGCACGAGAACAGGATGTAATGAATCAAGGAGTTACTCTTGTGAAACCAGTATTCATTGTCTGTCTCTGCCCAATCAGAACATAAGCTCCATGAGGCCCGGGATCTGTGTCTACTTGTTCACCATTCTCTTCCCGGCATCCATGGCGCATGGTAGGAACTCAATAGATATTGAATTAGGTAAATTCACCAACGCCGAGCACCTACCGTGGACCAGCACAGAGCCTGGAAAGTCGTAGGTGCTAACTGTGCTGAAGGATGAAGGGATGGTTGGAAGCAGGAAATGCGGCCATGGAAACGGGAAGAAAGAGATCTCTGTGTCCATCTCTCCCACAGCTCCGGGGAACCCTGTACAACACCGGGCGCCACGTGTCTTTCTTGCCTGCACCCCGGCCGGTGGTCAATGTGTCTGGGGGTCCCCTCCTTTACAGCCACCGGCTCAGTGAACTGCGGCTGCTGTTTGGAGCCCGGGATGGGGCAGGCTCTGAACACCAGATCAACCACCAGGGCTTCTCTGCTGAGGTGCTGGCCACTGACCTCTGACCCTTGATCCTTGCCCTGGGTCACCCTCACCCTCTTCTTGCCTCACCACATCCTCCATACAGAACTGCCCCCCCCAAACCTGCACTAATCCTGAACCTGACTTGGGACCCCCCCGAGCTGGCCCATTCTCTCCCCCTCCTGCTGGAGGAACCCCACTCCCTGTGTTGCCCTCCCAGGTGCAGCTCATCCACTTCAACCAGGAACTTTATGGGAACCTCAGTGCTGCCTCCCGGGGCCCCAATGGCTTGGCCATTCTCAGCCTCTTTGTCAATGTGAGTCCAGGCAAGATCCGAAGGAGGGAGGGAGGGCGGGAGGGAGGGAGGAGGCGGGGAGAGAGGCCCAGACTCCTGGGTATTGCGGGAGGAAGGGCTGGAGGGCTTGGACTTCTGGGTTCCTCCCCCCTCACCTTACACCCCCCCACACACAGGTGGCTGGCAGCTCAAACCCATTCCTCAGCCGCCTCCTTAACCGCGACACCATCACCCGAATCTCCTACAAGAGTGAGTCCGTGGTGCTTTGGTGGGGGTGTGCCCATGAGGGGGGCTCAAGTGTGGGGACCCCTTCCTGACGCTGGCGTAACGTGCCCGCAGATGATGCCTACTTTCTTCAAGACCTGAGCCTGGAGCTCCTGTTCCCGGAATCCTTCGGCTTCATCACCTATCAGGGCTCTCTCAGCACCCCGCCCTGCTCCGAGACTGTCACCTGGATCCTCATTGACCGGGTCCTGAATATCACGTCCCTCCAGGTGACCCCCTATCTCCCCGCCTTCCCCAGGTTGACTGGAAACTCGAGGGGGTCAGAGGGTCAGATGGGGCCGGGGTGGAGCTGAGCAAGGCCCCTCAGATCGGCTCCCAGGGGCGGGGCTTCTCGTGTGACGTCACCAGCATCCTACATTCTCTCCCCTCTCTCGGCAGATGCACTCCCTGAGACTCCTGAGCCAGAATCCTCCATCCCAGATCTTCCAGAGCCTCAGCGGGAACGGCCGGCCCCTGCAGCCCTTGGCCCACAGGGCCTTGAGGGGCAACAGGGACCCCCGGCACCCGGAGAGGCGCTGCCGAGGCCCCAACTACCGCTTGCATGGTATGGTCCAGTCTGCACCCCCCTCCACCACCGCGTCTTGGTCTAACCCGCCTCTGTGCGTCTCCCTCCGGTGTGTCAATATGATAAAGTCCTACCCGCCTCTGCTTCTGTATGGTCCGGCCTCCTGAGTTCTCACTCGCTCTGTCTCCCTCCTCCCTCTGTGTCAGCGTGCTCCAGTCCACCTCTACGGCCCCCTCCCCGCTCAGGCCATTGCTGGTCCACGGTTTGTCTTTCCTCTTCGCTGCTTGTAACGTGCACCTTGGCACAGAACCCGACACCCCCGGCTTCTTTGTGTCACGATCACCTGTTGGTCTGTGGTTCCTCTCCCAAAGTGGTGGGACCCGGATCCATTTCCTGTTTCCTCGTGGTATCAACCCCTGTGCTGTCCCATAATCCCCCATTTTCTGAGAATCAATATGGTTCAACCCCCTTTCCCTTCCTACTTCCTCCTCTCTCTCCCTTCAGCCCCGAGATCTAAACGGCCACCTCTCCGGCTTCTCAAAAACGTGGTACAGTCCAGCCCCCCCCCCCCCAGGAAGACTTTCTGGTAGTTCAGCCTGATGCTGAAACTGAAGGTCCCCATTCCACCCTCCCGCTGCCTCTCTACGGCTCGGCCTACTGCAGGGCCGTGTACACAAGCCTCTCAACCTGGTCCATTCCGGTCCCCCCTGCTCAGCCTCCCAGTGGTAGAGCCCTGCCGGCCCGGCCCGCCCCCTGCACGCCCCCCTGCACAGCCCGGGCTGCTGCGCCTCAACTAACGCCCTCGATCGCTGTCGTCTGTCTTACAGTGGATGGTGCCCCCCACGGTCGCTGAGACTCCCCACCGAGGATTGCGCCTGCCCTTCCCAGCCCTACCCAAGAGGGGAGGGGAGTCACCCCCAAAACAAAGCTATTAAAGGGACAGAACACTTCCTGTTTCTCAGTGGTCTGATTCGAGGCGCGCCCGGGCGTTGGAGAACAGCACCCTTCTTCCAGAAACCAACCTCCCGTCTTCCTAAAATCCCACCGTTCGGGTTCTGGCTTCCGAATTCCCAAAACAATCGCTGGGATAGGCGGCTCCAGGGAGCGGCGCCTCTCCCACCCGCCCCCACCCCTTCCCCACTCGCCGGGTCAGGCAGCACGCGCAGAGCCATGTGCTTCCTCCTCCCGCCTGTCTCATTGGCTCGAACTGGGTCACGGTCCCGCCCCCAGCGCCGTCTCCCATTGGCCAAATGTAGGTCAGGGTCCCGCCTCCCACGAGGAGGCTGGGCAACTTCGCGCACTGGGCCCCGCCCTGTGTCCCGG